TATATATATATATATATAGACTTTAGCCATCAGCATGCTTAAAGAAGTGGCTGTCAGTCACATTAATTTATTTGAACAACACACTGTTAAGGCTATTGAATGTATAACCCTGGTATAAAAACTAAAATAAAAGTGGTTGTCAGAATGTCAAACAGCGACTGAAAATCTCTCCTCTAACACATTTCCAGTATCAGGGGAGTTGACACTTTTTGTGTGAAATCGACAAAACGACAAGAATGCCCACTTCACACATTGATTGGTCAGGTGTGTGAAGGTGAGAAAGTATACAGGAGTTTGAATTTGTCTTTCAAGTTGTCTTTTTTTCATTCTTTAAGTCACTTTTTGGCTTTGAGAGGAGACTGTCCAAAAGCATGCTGCCCTATCCTCATTTGTACAATTAATCAAGTCTTGCCTGTCTCTATGACAACAGAGCAACTATAAAATTGTTTGCCTTGAGATGTGATTGGATGATTTTGTATGAACTAGTTTATTCCAGACATACCCTCGCCCATTTGGCGAATCAAATTTAATAGTTCATAAAAGTATAACAATTATTGACCCTATCATACTGAGTTATACAAGTAGATCTTGCCACCACAATCAGACAACAAATCAATCATTATTTTGAGCAAAAATAAAATCCGCAACTGTGTCTATTTTAATGAATGCATCCCTACTATGAATTCTTATCTCCCTCTGGCAAAGAACTACTGGAATTTAAGTACAGTTTGACCCCTTTGCCCCGACAAAGACAGTCTGTTCCATCACAGCAACTATTTATTCAGAGATATTAACATGCCGTATGTGGTGTGCTGCTTGTCAAGAGCATAACAGCATTGGAGTAATATTACTGATCGTCCTCAAGGACGACAGGTCATGGGGCTTGCCATAGGTTGCCAACAGTTTTCTATTTCCACCTTGTGAAGGGATCATGGTTGGTAGAACTCGCTTGGTACACAAATAGCAAAGATGAAATGGTACATACAAAACAGTGGCACTAACTCAAGCCACATGAGTTGGTCAAAGGATGCCAGAACGGGGATAAGCAGCATTTGGCAGCGGACCTGAAGCTGTGCTCCTGTCTGGTGCAAGTGCACATGTTTCAGCAGCATGTGGACGAAAAAAGCATGTCAGTGTTTCTTCTGCTCCTGTCTCTCATGTGCTCGCAAACACCCATAAATCCTAAACACCCTCTCACTGACTTTTCCATGACATCATTAAATGTTTCTGTGATGCCTTCTATCCATACTTCCCCCTCTTTACTCCTTACTGTCCTTCTCCCCCACCCTCACCCTCTTCCATTAAATCTTTCTGAACTATTAACTCCTCCACTTGTTGCATAATTTGGTAGTAGCATACATTTCCCAGATGTCCATGTGACTTGAGGAGGAAACACAGCAGCAAAATGGATGTTTCCTGAGAGGTGGTGCATGGTGACTGAGGAATGTGTGAATTCCTCATTGGATATGGAGCGAGGAGAAACACTGGAGGAGCACAGAAAGGTAAAACAAGGGAGTACAGAGAATAAGGGGTAGATAAGGCAAGAGACAAAAGAAAAAATAAGGAGGAAATATGGAAGAATTGGGCAGGAAAATACACCAAGACACTCAGTAAGACACAGAACTGATTAAGATCAAGGGATTATTTTCCAAAGGGGGTAAAAAAGTGGGCGAGTCAGACAATAAAGTAAAGAAAGGTCTGTCTTATACTGTAGCTTTGTGGCACGTTAAGGCAAGAGGTTAAATTAGCCGAAGTTAATATCCTTTCCGAACATTCAGTTGGAGCCAATTGGGGATTATAGGGCTAAACTGAGGGACCCCTACTCTGAAAACAACAACAACGGCAAAGAGATTACACTGAGCTGCCAGGGACACGATAAAATGAGTAAACCCCACATTGCCATCTCACCATATCATTAATAATCTAAAGAGATAATTTAAATTCAATGGTAATGAGAGTTCACCTAGAACAGTTGAACCTTCAGAGCCATTGCTGGAGGACTGGTATTCGGGGACATCAAAGGAGCTAAGGGCATCGTTGTCAACAGACTGAGAGATGTCCTGGAGCTCCTCCATGCCGCCCATGAAGTCGTCATCGGTGCACAGGGGGCTGCCTAACACCGAGTCTTCCAGGGGCGAAGGGGGATGGTAGTGGCTCTCCATGTCGACCATTGCGGTGGAGGAGCGGGCTGCCGGCACTCTCACTCATCAGACTGGAAACAGAGGACAGGGGAAGAGGGGGGAAGACAAAGAGGTTAAAGAGATGACAGAGGAAGACAAGATTAATTTCTAAGGTCACCTTTAGAGATTTCTAGAGACTATGAGTCTACATTCATGCTAGCAGTTCTGTGTGGCTGTACTTAGACACATCAGTGCTTTGTGCTAAATGCTAATGTGAGCTTGTAATATGCCTACAATGACCATACTAACATGCTGATGTTAAGCCGTTGTGATGTGTACCATGTTCACCACCTTAGCATGTTAGCATTGCTAACATTTGCTAGTATGAGACTTGTAGGCATCTGGTCATAAACCAACATTTATGGCATAGTTTAAAAGTATTGGACAAATTAGAACTTTGAAGTGACGATGGTGCAAAATGTAAAGTCAAGGGATCACCAAACTGATTACAATTCATCCTGGGGAGGATATAAGTGCAAAAATGGCAATCCATTCATTAGTTGTTAAGACCACATATTGCAACCTCACTGTAAAACAAGAGGAAGTTAAGGGGTCTCTATACAGTCATTAGGACATCATCTGGGAACTATTAATGTTGGTACCAAATTATTTACCAATCTATCAAGTAGATGTTGAGATATTTTACTAAATTAGTGAGCATTTTGCTGGCAGCCCTAGAAGAGAAGTTAGGGGATCACTAAAGATGTAAGGGCACCATGAATGTATGTAGACAACTTCGTGGCAATCAATCCAATAGCTGTTGGTGGACCAACTGACCAACATTGCCATTCATAACATCATCCTGCTAGCATGCCTAAAACTGATAACATCATTATCACCATCAACACCACAAAGTGACACTGCATTATCTTTCAGTGCACATGATTCAACACAGCACTGGCTAATACATTTAGGCCCAATGAGCAGTGCTGATGCAACATGTGGCCATCCACACCAACAGGTGCTGCACGTTGCTCTGGGTCAACGGGCAGTAAAGGAATGAAGGACATGGAGTATCTTATGACACAACACAGGCCCCTCCGCTCCTCTGAGCTATTCACCCCAAATACAGTAACCATATCCCTACCTCGAAGTGCTGCAGAAAGAGAAAGACAGAGGACAGAGGGACAGAGTGAGGCATAGAGATGTTTGGAGAGATGAATGTAGGTCACTGGGCTGGCTTAGGCTGTGCTGTAACAGGAAGGCTAGGTCTGGGGTTGGCTAGAAGGGACATGACAGACTGGCTTGTGCAGTAGATGGGTGAGAATTTGCTGAATTGCATATGGGAGGAGCTATGAGATACACATAGAAGTGCACTAAGAAGTAGGCTTGTCTTGGTGGCTAAGCTTGAGACTGGCAGTGGGAACGGACCTCATATTGCACATTAAGACTTCATACAGCCGTATCTAAACTAGGTCAATCTTCAGTAAGCCCTTTCCACCGGGCCCCGCTAAGAACATCACACAGGGGAGGTGGGCGATGGGGGTGAGGGTAGCTATGTGGCTACAAGACAGCAGCTGCTGGTTGTTCTCAGCCATTCCACACATTACCGCCTTAAGTTTAACCTTAAAAAAGGTTCAGTGTGTAACATTTAGGAAGCAAAAATATGATATAATATGCATAACTATGTTCTCATTAGTGTATAATCACTTGAACAGAGGAATCGTTATGTTTTTGTTATCTTAAAATTATCCTTTTATATCTATAGATGGTACGGGTCTCCTTCAATGGAGGCCGCCATGTTTCTACAGTAGCCCAGGAAGGACAAACAAACACTGGCTCTAGATAGTTTCTCCTTCGCGTTTGGAGGGGGAGTGTGAAGCGATGGAGTAGTGATCTGCCGCTCCACTGCTATATGACACTAAATCCTACACACTGGACCTTTAAATTGACTAGTAGTGTGTAATGTACTGTAGGCTGCTGAGAAGGGAAAATGACTGCATGCTGAAAATGTTTGCCCTCAGTGCTCCCTGTGAGTCTATTTTAAAGATCTAATGACAGAAATGAATGGTATTCCATTGATGCAGCCTCTGATACCATAAGTCATTTGAGTAGTTTCGCCTCAAGTGCAGAAGAAAAATACAATAGATTAGGTAAACGTGAAACGAGTTATGTGACTGTTAATAATAAAAATAATAATCTCTGTTGGTCACAATTTAACCCTTCAAGTAGGAGGGAAAAAATGGATGAACTTTGAGAAGGTCCCTATTGCTTGCAGGGTCGGTGGGCGACTAGCGGGAAGCATGACCAAAAGCAGACCAGTGACATGACTAAAACAAAGAAAAATACGTCATACGTCAACAGCAATACAACAAGACCTGGCTCAAAGTCCAGCCACATGGTATAGCATGGATGGATGAGCCATTTTTTAAAATCACAGAGCACATTGTCTTACACAATCTGAATTGTTGTGACGCAAAATGCTGTTTAGGTTTACACCAATCACTCTTGTTTGTTTCTCAGTTTGGAGCTACCTTGATAGCTCATGGCACAAAAACAAAAAAGTCAGCCAAACTGCTCCTGCACTGAAAGCAAATGTCTCAGCACACTTAAGCTTTTGCAGATATATTAATAAGGGAGCTTTATGGTAATTTGGTATGCACGATGTGACACATGGTGGTGAAGTATTTTGTAAATATGATATCCTGATGTCTATTGAAAACATTATGATAATGTAATGGTACAAGCATGAATATGAATACAAAGGTTTTAGAGCTGGAGCCATTCGTAAAGACAGCACATGTGATTCACATTGCATGGAATTTCTAGTATCAGCGGGTAGAAAAATCACAACAAACTAAATTTTCTCATTAAGAATCACAGCCCAGAGGACCTGAACTGAATTGAATAGTATAGATGCCCACTCATTGAGAAGACTACTCTACACGAAAAGAAGCTTGGCATGCAAGTGAGCCGCTTTAGTGAGATACTCTACATTACACTTGTAATTCTGAATGGAGGCAGTGTTAGCTCGGCTACGCAAGCAAACCTCTTTAGCATTCAGCCTCTAGCTCCTGACCCTCAGGTCTTCCTTTAGAGGACATCCTGTTTCATACACTCACTTCACTCAGCACTGTCTCATTATTATACTGCTTCAAGGGGAAAAATAAAGAAGAATCTTGGCTACAGCTTGACTAACATCCATGCTGTCAGTTCAGATAACACTCCATTAACCGGGGGGAGTTATTATCTAGTCTTGTAAGAGGATACAAATTTGGGCTAGCAGAGTATTACATTTTATTTTTTCTGCGATCAGTAAAGTTTATACACAGTCACGGTCAACATATACAGTGTGTCAATCCATCTGTATGTATGTATAAATGTGTCAACACACATCCATTGCATGCATGACTTTATATTTAAATAACACATATGACACAGGTCCTTTTCTGAACTTATGACCCCCTACCACCATCTACGAAGTGGTGGATCAAGCAAACCTTGTGTTGCCACCAACATAACACGAGAATGTAAACACACAGAGCCGCTTAAGCTGCAGACTGCAGAGGTCTTGTGGATTGAGACCGAAAAAGACAGAGAGAGACACGGGGGGCTGAGGGGAATGTCACTAAGGCTACATTACAGGGTCTTTATCAGCAGTGTGCGGGACAGAGTGAGCAAGTGAGGCAGGGAGAGAAAGACAGAGGTTCCTATGGTAACAGCAAGTCTTTGTCCTTTAAGGTCAAGACCTCTCTTGTGCTCACTCAACCAAGCTCACTGAGGGCACTGCACACACTGAGAGGAAGATGAGCAAGGTCATACGTGTTTATGTGGGTTAGGGTCCAAAAGGGGAGGAGGGTGGGTTACAATAACAAAAGACCACTAACTGAGAGCCACTGAGGTCGCCATGACGATGCCATGGCAATGTCGACACATGGATCACACTTTGAAATCAGCAGCGGAGGGCGGGCAGCAGGCATGTGAAGGCAGTTACGAGCTACTACCACTGGAATTCAATCTCATTCAAATCAATAAATCCCATCACAGACTTGTAGGGTAGCAAGTCTGTACCAGTAATCACTGGGCCGGATGTATGCGTGGAGCATAAATAATCCATACAGTCCGATGGGTTTCTGCACAGCATGTTCACCCAGCCCCCCATGTTACGCTCATCCATCGCAGTCAAGTTCCACATTAGTCGGAAAGAACACGAGGGCTGCTGGTAAGCTCCGGCTGTGGCAGATAAACATGCTCTGAACGTGGGTTAGTTTACACAGCAGTCTGAAATCTTCAAGAAAATTATCTACAAATCACCTGCACTGTTGAGCTGATGGCCTCAGTAGTGATATTAATCATTCAAGAAGTACTGCACTTAAAGGAGATCATGTTTGAGTGATCCTGTGGCATCTCTACATCCACACAAGCCTCAGCTGATAACTGAAAAGTATTGCATCACACAGCTTCTATGACTAACTATTGTCTCTGGGGCATCCAATAAAGCGTCATGATTTTTCAAATCCATCAAGAATGAGGGCAACAAAGATTGTGATGACAAGGAAACCCAGATAAAAAATGGCTGCGGATCAAGATATTAGAGGTGTGTAAGGGCTTGTCTCTCCAAGAAGTGGAAAACACACAGCAGACCTTCCAAGTACAGGAGAACACACCTTGGCACTGAGAAGAGATAAAAGAAGATTTGCTCACATACTATTTTTCTTTTGTTAGAATAAAAACAGTATTGTTACCAATCTATAAATAGTTTATAGAATGTGAAAACTCAGTAATAATTTACACTATTGTCCTACCTTCCACATCCGAAAAGTTTTCCATCCAACTTTGGTCCCTGACAGCATGACACCCAGCTCTTTTCACAAGCTTGTATGATCATTTGGTGTGTGTGTGTGTGGCTGTGTGTGTGAGAACTGTCTTGTTGTGTGTGTGGGTGTGGTGTGTGTGTGTGTGTGTGTGTGTGTGTGTGGTGTGGTGGTGGTGTGGTGTGTGTGAGAGAGTGGACCTTAGGTTAATGTTCAATCCACCAATCCTGTGGTCTGAGTGCTGACAGACCTGTTAGAAGAAGGCCCCAGGGGTGGTA